ACTTCAGGTTCATCAGCTCATCGGCATTCTCTACCACCCACGCTTTTCCAGGCGCCAACGTCCTCGTCGTCAAATAGTCCGCAGCCTGGTTGTAATATCGCTTGACATGGGACAGACGTACTGAGTTGAATTTTGCTTTCAACACTTTATATTCAGCGAGGCGGTGCTGCTGATTAGAATGGTGGCAACCGGTCACGTCCTGTGCTTGTTGGATACAATCCAGGGGTATCCAACCATGACCATTTCTCTAAGATCGCGGCCGACGGCCAGTTCCAGGCCTTTGATTAACACGTGACACTCCGCGTCGTTCACAGCCACGTCATCCAGAGGGAAAACATGGGTATTCAGAACAGCCCAACCAGGTAAATACCAGAAAAACATCCACAACTTTCAGGGCCGGCCTTGGCTGCACTATCAAAACTCAGAACGTATCCTTCAACGTCTGAATCCAGCTTCATCACCCTGATTAGAGGAGGCGCTTTGATTCGCCCTTGATGGGGATCATGTTCTCAGCAACTTTGTCTACGTATTCTCTGAGAATAATACCCGCGCCGAGGAGGTAAGCCAATCCGTCTTTATCACGCTGTACGCGGCGCAGTTCCAGAGTCCATATCGACAATTCCAGACCCCACTTTAGATGCCGGCCGTCAGCGGAGTTCCCCATCAGTAGCCACTCCAGGACTGCCGAGCGTAGATCACAATCGGTGTCCTGAACCCTAGATGAGCGAGTGAAACTGCTCTAGAACACACAGTATCGGTAACACCTCTATCCTTGGATGTGGAATCAGAGTTCGAACTCGGGCAGACCCGCCTTGTACAACGTACTGGTTGGATGACACCTTCCTGTTCCTGACCCAGGACACCACAGACCGCTCGGAGGTTGGTATGAGGGATGATGACAAACTGCCTGGTGCAATCTGGATAGCGTAACAGTGGGGTCGATGAGACCTTTTGTTTCAAAGTCTCGAACGCTTACTTGGCCTTATCTAGATCGAGTCCAGATCGAACCCAGTCCTCATCCAACTCGTAAAGCATAGCTGCGACAACAAGTAGATCCTCACAAAACTTGTTGTAGTGGTTCAGACTTTGCAGGAACGACCGAATGCCTTTCAGAGTCGATGAGAACGGTAGGTCTCGAACGCTGTTGGCAATCATCGGAGTAGCTCTAATTCCTTCGGCACAGATTTCGTGAGACAGATACGGCCTGTTTACCGAACTTGCTTTTCGGGAGACGGACCGAAATATTCCAATGCCGGAGTCGTAATAGCAGCGCATTCAGATCCTCGTAGAGTTGGTCCCAGGTAGGCGCTCCATGAGCTATGTCATCAATGTAAGAACTTCGTCCCAGGACAGGTCTCGTGTGTATCGGTGGTGGAACGTTGCTCTTGAATAGAGTTGCGCAATCATTAGCACCGGAAGTCTGAAACCACCTTCGTCAGGAGGGTTTTCGATCGTCGGCTCAGCGTCTGGAACGGACAACGTCAGAAATGCTAAGACGTCTCGATTAACCTGGATCTTTTCCTCAGGTGGGAGCCGCACAAATCCCCAAAGCAATCAATAATCACACCATGGTACACTTACGGTGCGTTCTTGAGTAAAAAAGCATCCGGAACCACTGAAAGTGTCCGAATGGGCAGACGAAAGTTGAACTCAACTTCGCACGCCCGTCATCAAGATCGCCCAGAAACCGCTCGCCATATCCAGACTCATGAGCCATGC